GAGATGCGAAAAAGCGATTTGTGAGCCAGGGGTTGCACAGAGACCGCAGGGCGGTGTGACTGTCAGGGAGCGATTTTGTTCATGGTGTTCTTGAGGACTCTTCTTGCTTTTTTCTTCTTTGGGGAATTACTTATCAGCTACTGTTTCATAACTGAACAGCAACTATCCATGACATTTTACCGCGAAGACTGTCTTTAAGTTCATTCGCTCAATATGCGAAGTACGAACGCAGTATTATTGAAATGGCTGTATAAACCACTAAAAACTCACTTTAATGAGATTGTCTACGCCCAACAAATATCCATCTTCAGAATTACCCTGAACCCAAGGAGTCCGGTGATCGAGACGCCTCGTCGGGTCTACAGGTGACGATTTGGCGAAATCGATCATCCAACAGTTCACTTTTTCGTGATCATGAACAATCAGCACAGAACTCCCCACGACCTGAAAACAGTACTAATATGTGCATATAAAAGCGTCATGACAAGATCTCCAGATGCATTAATCGTGTACCTCATGGGTGGCGAAGAAGTGGCTTTTCTCGATGGCTGATCTCATGGCCTTTAATCGTGCCAACAGCCTGCTCCTTATCCTTTCACGGTCTGTACCAAAGAACTCTATCAACGCCTGCGTCACATCGTCATATGTCCTCACTTTTTTGAAGTTCTTCTGCAGAGAACCACCTGGCATCTGAAATGAAGCCACTAGAAAGACGTCGAATGGACTAAGTTATGTCACTGCGGTCAGTCGAGACGTGTCGGCAGCTCACGGGTTTTTAAGCGGCACCAACCTGTTTCCCATCGATGTTGCGGCATTCAGTGAGTGAAGGGAAAAAGGGTGGCGGGGTCAAAAAACCCATGCTGATACTCCCCGACTGATCTGGGTGACAGCGACTGTGTGTGAGCTCGATTCGATCAGAAATTCAGAGTTTCTCGGAGAAGGGGACCTTCTCCGAGAAACTCTGAATTCTGACCTTCCACAAAAAATGGAAAAAAAAGAAGAACATCGCCACATCAATTACGTTGGTTGTGATTAGATGACGGGAGAAGAGGAAGTATGGAAAAATTCGAAGGCGATACTCAATTGAAACGCACTTTTGATGTGAACTGATTAAAGAAGCTAGGATGCTAAAAGGATGCGAGCGGGAGGGGGGTCCTCAATATCAGATCATGCCCTTGTCTAAACAACGAGCGTTCCGCCACACAATTAAGGTTGCGTTGTTGATTCAGATGACGGGAGTCAGACCATTTTCTCATACGACGTCTAGTGTTCGGCTAACTGTAAGGGGGTACCGAAGACGTAAGAGAGACCATATTACGCTTTAGCTCCTGTGCGTTCTTATTTAACTGAAGCTGGTAGGTTTGGGTGTGGGGGTGGCCACCGGAACGATCTCTATCTCGATGAGGAAGCGAAACCTTAGTCTCGCTGCTAACTGCCTCCCCTCTCATGCTCCATCCCTTAGCCAGATAAGTTTTTATTGTACAGGTTTGAATCTTCGCGACGACGCGCGACATCGCGAAGAAAAGAAAGAAGAAGAATAATAATTATTCACTTTCAAGGACACCTTAAAAAAATAGAATATTAGGATAAGGATATATTCGAAGATTCCAAGCTTACCTTGGCGGCCTCTATACGAAATCCTAGTTCAGCGGAACTGCTTTCTCGTTCCCGGAACTGCATATAACGCAATTTCGTAATTTCACCGCATGCTCGCTCTTCTGGCGTCGGCTCATCGGGATCAATGGCTGTCATCTTTTCATATAAATCTTTCTCTCCGTTTCGTGTGTTGATAACTTCCCAGAATTCCAAGAATGTTACTCGAAATTGCAGCGCCATGTGTGGCAACTTAGGAACTCTACAGAAACAAAAAAAACCCAACAAAAACAATTGAAGTTACGATACTAAGTATAAGCAGACCTACTGAAACACCCACCTGGTACCAATTTTGATATCCATGATACTTGTTTTTGTTGGGTCAGCAAACTGTTGTAGCAAGTCTTCAATTTCAATGAAACCTGAAAAATAATTCAAGAAATGAATGAGTAACGGAAAGAACAACAACTAGTGTGGATGACACTGTAAATATTGCAACGGTTATACAAAAGAAGTGGGCGCGGTTAGTAAGCGTGCTAGCACCGGAAACCCAATCGCGAGAGACGAGATCACGCTGTTTTCTGCTTGTCTGCGCTCTATAACGTTCGGTAAAATTCGCAATAAGAATGATGGGGGCGGGGCGAGCAAAGAACGAATGTGGTCCAGTCTCAAACACTGCTCCCCCACCCCGGTAGCATGAATGCTTTCTCTGCCAGATTACACCTCATCCACCCCGGTCATTTGTACTCTGCTAAAACTGCATTCATAAATAACTAGTATCCCGAGATCGAGCGATGGCAAATAACCACCTTCCACGACAAACCGCTGGACCGCTGCAACTGCCGATTCAACCGCAGCTAGGTTATAATTTACTTCGTAATTTGCAGAGGTCCGATGATTAGCGGTGTCACAGTCACTCGCACGACGGAAGGCGGGCAAGAGAATTGTAATTTGCCGCTCGGCCGCGCGCGGCGTTTTCTTAACTCGTGTTAACCTGTCGACTGGAGCACCGGACTTCATGTAGACCCCGTCATCGTAGACATTCATGACTATTTTCGGTTCTGAATTGCCTGTTGTCGCCATCTACTACCTGGAACCATCGTCATTTGCGGGCGCGACGTCGCACGCGACGCCCACCAGCGCGGCAAATTACGATTCTCTTGTCACATCCGTCGCGCCGTCGCACACTGAATGCTCAATTCGCGAAGTATAAAAGCGGCCTCAGACATAGAGAGATGCATGCTTCTCCGCCGAAGTAGGTGAACTCTGAAAAGAGGCATCCCACTAGGAACAGTGGAGAGCAAACTACTGCGGACCTTTCAGCAGAACCACCGTCCATCACTTTTACATGTCCAGGGTAGAAGTAGGAACGCTCGGTATTCAGGATAGCTACTTTACTATCACTAATTGGAAAACGAAAACGTTTGGAAGAAACAAGAGTATAAATCTCGCTGAAACCTACATTCATCATTCTTTTGCAGTTGCTTGAAATAGCGTGGAGTGAAACCAGTTAGAGCTGGATCTTTTGAGATATTCTCGTATGCTCTCGCTTCCATACAATTACCAGTTTGTTTCTTGTACAATGTGCAGGTGGTTGCAGGAACAATACTGCCTTAACAAACATATATCAACGGAAAAGAATGCAGGCTGATATGATAAAATTCCAAAGAGGTGTTCCAGTGGCTGTCAATAATTTGAAATTAAATAGGACAGATGAATGCGGACTGTTTGAGAGTCAAGGAAAACAAGTTAACAGATGAAATTAGAGCATGTAGATGGCTGCCTGGTAGAGGTAATTTCATGAAAAAATGCTTCACCCACCAAAAAGCTCCTCTCCTTCTAATTTTCGCGAGACCCCTCAGCCCTCCTCGTTTTCTTCGCAAATTTTCGAGTGGTTTAGAATGTCGCGCTAATACATGGAGGGGACCACTCCACAGCACCCTTGCGTCTCTTACATCAACCTCTCTTCCATCAACCAAGGCTTCAGCTTGGAGTGCAGACTGTCAGAGTCGCACACCGTTTGCTTTGCAAGAGTAACCTGCGACGTCTGACTGTCTGCGCGTTCAGCTTTAGGCAGCGTAGCAGACTTCGCGAGTGGCAGCGGCTTCGGTCGCTGCTCCGACGGATCGATTCACTGAAGCATGCCGCATCGATCGCGAGGAAACCGATCAAAACTAGACAATTGTAACTAACTAAGCAACCAAGCAACTAACGACCAACTACGTGAGATGGGCCCCCAATATGTTAGCATCACTCACTTCCCTATTAAGCATGTTTCTTCGGTGCTAACGTAGTTGGAGGGGGCCACGCGGTTCTCGGCCAGTGATGACTCATCGACTCTTCTTTTCATGTTTAGGACATAGATATAAGATTGTCCTAGCTATATTCAAAAGATAAAACAGTTAACTCTGAAGAATGCGAAAAAACAGTTGTGGACAGGAAAATTTTGCCTAAACTTGTTGCTTTTTTGTTGTAGACCGCTGTTCTTGACTACAAAAGATCATACAATGTTGTTTTCAGTTTCTGTGGGATTTCTCAGCAAGTTTCCGGTGAGTCTTGTTTGTTTTATTCTAATTTTGCTGCTAGATTAGTATGTCAACGCTGCTATCGATCGATGAGTCATCACTGGCCGAGAGCCGCGTGGCCCCCTCCAACTACGTTAGCACCAAAAAAGGGCTAATTACCTTCATGTCCAGACAGCTGCACCCATTTTTTCAAGCGCTCCTTCAACCAAACATCAATCGGAAGAGCAGTGATGGCCATCGTTTCCACGGATACCTGAAAAAATCACATAAAATCATTTGCAAGTAGTTTTGCAGAGGAATCAATAGAGTGAAAGCTCAGAGATAATGCTACGAATTCTAGTCAGCGTTCGTAGTTAATGGCCGTCCGAGCCACAGCCATATCGATTTCCCTTTCTTCAATACAGACGGACATTAGCAAAGTACGATGGTTTTTTCATGAAGGCATGGGAAAACATTCATTCCAGATATGCTTTGAAAGAAACCATTTGACATTCACTCTTAGGAATCCTCGTTCATAGCTTGCGACCGTGAAAAAAAATGCAGAAATGAAGAAATGCGGAATCTGCAGAAATGACGAAAAGCATTAGATACGTATCGATTTGCAGAAATGCAGAAATGACGAATTGCAGAAAATCGATACGTATCTAATCCTTTTCGTCATTTCTGCAGATTCCGCATTTCTGCATTTCTTCAAATCGATATGTATTTAATGCTTTTCGTCATTTCTGCAGATTCCGCATTTCTTCATTTCTGCATTTCTTCATGGTCGCAAGCTATGAACGCGGCCATATGCCTTTGGTATCGGAGCCCAGCTGTTGTGTGAAATCCAACGGGGATTCGTATTTGATCGTTGGGGAAGGATCTCGTATGCTCCTGACTTTTCCTATCGTGCACGCTTTGTTTACCACAACTCTGTGAAAATCCCATGGATGGGAGGGGGATTAGTATTAACGCCACGCCAGTTTTTTTAGGTAAAGTGAAGATTTCTATACGGGCAGTTTGGTGCATGTGCACGAATAGACCTTTTCTTTTGCTTCTTCCTTCCCTCTTCCCTTCTCCTTATTCTCCTCCACTCAACTGCTCGCCCACAAGAAGCAATGAAAAAATAGCACTGGCTCTCGCGTAGCGAGAGGACATTCAGTTGAGAGAAGCCCAGTACTGAACTAGAAAGCCTTGAACT